AAGCCAGAAGGGTTCCAAGTGTGCCTGTCACACCAGAGCATCCACATCTCCTGGGAACTTTGTAGAAAGGCCAGTGTTCAGGCCCACCTGCCTAGAACCAGAAGCTCTGGAGGAGGAGGCCGGCCGCAGTGTCTGAACAAGCACTCAAAGCGCCCGAAGCATATCACGGTTGAGAACATTTCCACTCGTTCGCCACGTCCCTCCCAACTAACGCTTAGTCAATACCCCAACCCAGGGAACTTCCAAAAGTTCAGCTTGTCACCATGTCACTCCACTCCTTCGAATCCCTCCTTGGTTCTGATCGCTTTCAGGATGGATCCCAAAAGTCCATCCCGTACCTTTAGAAATCGTCTCTTTAGTACCCACAATGGGACTTCCCCTGACGTATGGATTAGCAGACCCATGGCCCGATTTTCTTTTCCTCCCTATGTGTTCCCTTAGCCAATTTCCTGCCTTAAAGTTTTTGTGGTAGATAGTTTCTGGGCAGGACTTCCTGAGCGCACGACCCTAGCATGTTCAAAGGTCACGTGTACAGCAGCCCAAACCAAGCAACTGGTTGTGCTTCCGATGAGAGTAGTGAATTCACTGAAGGGTGATGGGAAAGACTACTTAGTGTCTATTTCCACACATGTGGGTCCGAATCGTTGGGGAAGGATGACAAGTCAGTCAGCTCCGTCTATTGGCTGTCGGGCCAGAATAGGGACTGGGGCTTGTAGCAGGGCTCCTGCCAGTTTGGTGTACCGATGAGTGCCATCCAGAACTGTGTGTTCGTGCTGGGTTAAGAACTGAGTAGCGACTTGACACAGGGGTTTTGTCTGTGTTGTGTAAAAGCATATGTTCTCTTGGGGTTTGCTGTGTAAAATGTCATTTCTCTACCGTTATGGCCCTTTCCCAAAGCCTCCAAATCGGGCCGACTGGAAATTGTAAGGAATTGCTCTCTTGGCACAGATGCTCTGAGATGCACCTTTAGAGTCGAGAGTCCAGGGTGAGACTGCCTGGGTTTGGCTCCTGGATCGGCTGCCCACTAACTGGGGGACCCGGGGCATGTCAGCGAGCCGAGTCTGCTAAATGGGAATGCTAACACTCGCGACGCACGAGGGCTTCTATGGGATCAAATGACTTGATGTCAGTGCAGGGTGACTTTCAGTGTGCTGTATCTTTTCAGGAGGACCCGGCAGCCCTACTGCAGCACCCAGAGGAGGTAAAGAAGACAGCACGCCCATGGAACGTAGCCCAGGAGCGCCATGCACAGGGAGATCAGACAAGTCAGGATAGATATATATATCTATATATATATATATAGATATAGATATATATATATATACCCTTTAGCACCTAGGCAGTGGCACTGAACATGACACAGGTCGACCGCAAGGCTGAACTGTAGGTGATATTAGACGGATATTCGATAGGTAGCTGCAGACATGCTAGGAGTCCTACAAAGATGCTTTGGACTTAGCAACCTCAATTCTGTCCTATCCGGGAAGCCGGATATGCAGAATCCTGCCACTGTGGAAGTAAAACCCTTTCCCCGCTGTTGTGTCAGGGACCTCAGAAGGTACAGAGGGCTTCCCAAGAGCACCTGGCGGTGAGAAGACAAGTGGAGACTCAACGGCCCCAGGCACCACGTTGGGAGGCAGACCAGGTACGGAAATGCAACGTGGAAAGCACCTTCTTCCTGACCTGCGGGGAGTTGCCAGTGGCTTCTGAGGAGTTAGTGACGCTTCAGTTGGTAGTGCCCGTATTCAGGACCCCCGGTCCTTGTTTGTGGTGGGCTTCATGGCAGTGTTGCTCTAACGTCAGCTCCGACGTGACGGAGAGCAGAGCGGGGTGTATTTGGCATTCCCAGATTGCCGCCCTTGGACTTCTGAGACTGGGCCTCGACTGGGATAGGGTCATGCTGTGCCGTCTTGGCTGCAAAGGAGAGCTGAGGCTAGACCATGAACAAAGACGTGCAGCAATCGCATGAACCAGTGTAGGGGAAGTACGTTGAAAGCAGAGTGCAGCACAATCTGTTCTGCCCCGGCAAAGCTCCCAGTACAGAGTGAGTGTTGGTTTTCGATGGGACTACTGGGTCAGCGGCCGGTGACACCACCAGAGCCCCAAGCAATGAGAGGCAAGGGGGAGTGTGTTGAGAATGTCATTCAGAGGCCATGGCCGTTGTCATGAAAAAGTCGGGTTCTGTGACGTAAGAATTTGACGCGTTAAAATGCATTTCTTCTTCGCTCAAAAAGTTAAATCCTCAGAATGGTACACCTAGAGGTTCTGTAGGAATTCTCTTGGTATAAGGAGCTTATTCTAAGAGAGCATCCACCACAGAAAGAACCTAATTCCATTGGGCCATGAGAGAGAACTAGCTGAGCGCGGTGGGAATGAGAGGTTGAAAGGTAAGAATTGGAATCCCTCCTGTGCTCCTTCCCAGCTGCCTGACCCTAGTTGAAGGCTCCCTAGGCTCCGAACGACGTTTCCTCATCGGTTGCGTGGGAAGGCTATAGATCGACCTTACAGGACTTGAGAAAAGAATCACTGTGCCTGTGATAGTGCAGCGTAGTGGAAGACCCAGGGGGTCCTCAGTCACATCCACTGTCTTAGCACGAGCCGTTTTGTAAAGAACAATTCATTGTGCCAATGAAGTTAGAGTTTCGCCGAGGCGTTTGGTATTTTTGCAGGAATCAGACACATCATACTTCCTGGATTCGAAACGACCTTAGGGGGTCACTTTTAGCAGAAATAGGATAATTTGGCACAGTCGGCCAACTCTGTACTACCAAACT